TAGTTTTGTCGTTTTACTTTTGATGTATTACATGTAATTTCAAGCCAAGGGCTTAATGTGTAAACGAGTTAGAACTCTTTGTTGTAACCAAGTGTTAACTTGGAAAGCTGTAAGCCCGTAGGGCATTTTGTTATGAGGTTAACATGTAATACTTATGTCTTGGAATTCTAATGAATGAAAGGAATGCGATTAGTTTAAATGTAAATGCATGTCTTATCTGATGGGTTTATTGTTATTATTTTGAGGGCGTTACATTTTTTTTTGTGTGTGTGTGTGAAGAAACACAACAAATAAGACCACAACCAAGTCTACAAATCAGATCTCATCAAATAGTTTGAGAAACATAAAAAGTCAAACGCAATTACTTTTTTTTAATACTGATGTATAGAAATGCAAATCTAAACAAAAGGTCAAACCTTTAATTACAACTACAACCTTTTGCACGACCTTTTGCACAGTCAAACTTGGAGCAACGTTTCTTGAACAAATGAAAACAAAAACAAAAACAAAAACAAAAACAAAAACAAAAAAGCACACAGATCATATATATGTATATATATATATATTTGTAAAGTGAGGTAAGAATGGAGTCGTTCTCTCACGTGGTTCTCTTTCTTCAAAGCTTCACCGTCGATCCATTGTCATCACCGTTCTTGCTCTCTTTGTGTCTTTGCGTCGCAGATTTGACCCAACGGTGATGGGGCGACGGAGAGATGTGGTTCAGATCTTGTGAAGGCGGCGATGGATTCAACTAGAAGTGGCGACGACGATGATGGATGATCGACAGAGAAAAGAGAGAGAGAGAGAGACGCAGCGACGGAGGAAAGAGAGGCGGCAGTGTGCGATAGAGAGAGGCAGATTAGAGAGAGTGAGAGAGAGAGGAGTGTGACTGTTAGGGTTTTGGGACATACAATATTATATACATATATATATATATATATAAGAGATATTTTGGTCATTTTTGTGACAACCGCCTCCTTAATTAAGTAAATTAATTATGATAATTGTGTGTTTAGTGTTGATTGTGTGATTATGTGCTAATTGTGAAGTATGTGCTATGTGTGATACATGTATATGGTATCATCATTGTGAACAGATAGGTGGAGTTATGGATTAAACCATTATGAATCGCTAATGTTAACAAGTTAGAATTAAATAATAGGATATGAAATTAAAGCCTAATTCACATTAGGAAATTAAACCTAGTTTGATTTAAGTCATAAATGCTAGAGATTAATTTAATTTAAATGAGTTTGATTTTAATCAATTTATTAGCCAAATTAATTCAAGCCTAATGTATGTATAATTAGCAATATAATAAGCCTACGTTCCATACAAACAAAAGGAACCTAAGAGAGAGTTGGTGGCCTTGGTGAGCATTACACGTAGAGAAAGGGATAGATTGTGCTTTTGAGAGTTCAGAGAGTAAGAAGAGAAGAAAGAAAGGAAGAGGAGAAGAACTTAGGAAGAAGATAGAGGAGTGTCTTGAATTCTCTCAAATCAACAAGTAAGGTAAGCATTTTCTCTCTACTTTATTGAAATTGAGATTTGCACATTCATCATCTTCAAAGGTTAAAGCTTAAATATGATGAATTGATGTCTAATTAGGAGGTTTGCTTGTGTTATTAACAGTTTAATACATGCATGTCTTGGTATGGAAGAATTGACCAAATAAAATTCATATAGTTACATGCATGGCATAATTCATGGACATTTGGTTTCATCCATTTAAGTTCTTGCATGGTTCTCCAATTGACAGGAAATTCCATGGAGGCTTGAGTTTTAGAGCTCACACTTACATGTTTAATACTTTTACATACCAAAGAGAGGGTTTGATTTCTTCTTGGCCATTTGAGGTTGTTTTAAACTCATGATTTTTTGTTTAAGGTTAGAAATTGTGAATTTTTAGTGGTTGTGAAAGGGGCTTAAATTGTGCAAAATGAAGTTAGATTTTGGAAAGTAAAGGACACAAAAACATAGCAGATTTTCGGCATGGAATCAACCCAGGCCACTCGAGCGGCTAACCTTCATTAGCCCAAGGGTGCACACTGCTTGACCACCGCTCGTGCGGCCAAGGCCACTACACGAGCGGCCAGACCACCGCATGTGCGGCCAACAATGCAGTCCCAGTTTTGTTTTTCGCTCCACTTTTTCACCTTCCGGGCCTTCGTTTGCATGACTTTAGCGTGTTTTCATGTGCATTTGCGTTCATGGTCATATCATACGCACGAAAGAAAGTAACTGAGTAAGACGCAAACAAATTGAATAAATATAAGTATCGAACTGAATAGGAATGATTAACTGAATGACTTGATTATAATGGAGTTATGCTTGAATTTATTTGGTTAGGTCGGATGTCGCATCGTAGTGCAACTTTAGCGCGCATTTTGAGGAGCCCACTATGAGTAACAATGTTGTAAAGCTATGTTAAATTATAATTATTTTCTGAATGATTAACTGTACTGCTTTCTAAAATGATATTGTTTACTGAATGAATGTTTGTCCTATTTTATGAACTGTACTCGTGGCATCCATAGTAACTGACTGTTACTGCTACTGTTACTGCTACTGTTATAGAGATCTCTATCAGTTCCAATGTTGGAACTACTGTTTACTATTTTGATGACTATCATTTGACTGTTCGGACTTTTAAGACCTACTATACTGTTTTGCTATTGGATGTACCACATATGACTGCTATGATTTCTAAATGATTGATATGACATAAAATATGAGACATTGATTTAATGATTGATCTACTGATGTAATTGACTATTTCAACTAGACATTCATTTTTAACCCCTTTACACATTTGTTATTCACTGGGCTTAGCTCACTGTTTCTATATGTATGTAGGTGATCAGGGACCAGACCGGACTCAACGACATCGATCGGAACCCCTATTTTGTCAAGCCAACCAATTGTGTCTCACTACGAGGTTCCAAACTGTAATGTGTCAAGGCTTTTTGGGTGATCTAAATCTACCCTTTTTGGACTGTTATTTGGAGTCCTAAGGATGCTTTTATAATTTGTTGGCTTTGGGATTTAATTCCTTAACATGTTCTTTATTTTGTACTTAGATGTGTTTTGGACCTAAGTGGTTGTATGTATACGATTGGACATGGACATGGACATGAACTTATGTGTGTATTGGTACAAATGTATATTGAGGTTGTTTGTTCATTTAGGTCCTCACAGCTCATTGGACGTTGCGGTAATTATTGTTTGGCTTCTGCCAACCCCTTTTTATTGTCATTATTGTTAAACAGGCCTTCAGTAATCATGAATTACTGGCCGGTTACAATGTTAAACCTATAAGGGTGGGTTTGAGTCGTGACTGAGTGGTATCAGAGCACGCATTAGACTGCACAAACCTGTTCAAATGAGCTATAGGATGTCCTAGAAGCAAAATTAGGGCATTGCATGAACATAAATAAGGGTGTGTGGACATGTTATGTGTATATGTGCTAACATGAATAAATAAACCATCTTTCCTATCTGTATTATTATCATGTTTTGTATAGTGAAATGAAGAATGCAAGAAATACAAATGAAAATGAATCATCCGAAATAAGAATTGCAAGATTACAAAGAATGGTTGAATTATTGACTGAGGCTCTAAGACAACAACAGAACCAACAACCCCACCTCCTCCTCTGCCACCAGTGCAGCTAGAACCAAATGCCAATGATGATGTTATTGCTTTAACACAAAAGTTTAACAAAATGAAGCCACCAACATTCCAGGGAGGTCTTGAGCCACTGAAAGCCGAAGCATGGATCCTAGAAACTGAAAAACTGTTTGAAGTATTCCCGTGTTCAGAAGCGCAGAAAGTGTTTTTGGCTACTTTTACTTTACAAGAAGAAGCCAGGCGGTGGTGGATGCTTATTCGTGATACAAACAATACTATAACTTGGGCTCAGTTTAAAGAAGCTTTTTATGATAAATATTTCCCTCAGTGCATCCAAGATCGCAAAGTATCCGAATTTGAGCAACTGAAGCAGGGTACCATGTCAGTGGCAGAATATGAAGCTAAGTTCACCAAGCTCGCCCATTATGCACCACACATGGTAGATACCGACTATAAAAAGGATAGAAAATTTGAGGGTGGACTTAATGTAGAGATACTTGACCGGATTAACGTTTTGAAATTACTCGAGTATGTGGATGTCCTTAACCGAGCTATCATAGTTGAGGCAAATATTACAGCATTGAAATAAGCTAAGACGCTGGTGACTGAATGACGGGGTAAGAGACAGAGTTTTTATTTCAAAAAGGGCCAGAATAACTCATTGAATAGAAGGAAAAATATAGGGTTGACAAGTAGTTCTAGCCAAGGGAACAATTCCATACCACCTTGTCCAGAATGTGGCAAAGACATAAAGGGCTTTGTTACAAAATTTCTGGGGCATGTTACATGTGTGGCAAAGGGGGCCACATGGTCCTCTCAAATCTCAAGGCACTAGTAGACCCGTAGCAAGTGCTGCAGCATCAACCGCTACACCAAAATCCAATTCTAAAGCTATCGAGAAAGAAACTTTGAGGCACGGTCGGGTGTTTGCACTTGTAATAAGGGACGTGAAGAACACTGAGACAGTAGTGTCAGGTATACTCTCTATTTGTGCTCAAAATGCTTATATTTTGATGGACTCGGGGTCTACGCATTCATTTGTCTCGCATGCTTTTTTGAGAAAATTATCTAGACCACTGGAACCCATGAATTATTTATTAGTTGTGTCTTCACCTACTGGGGGGTCCATGACTTGTGCTTATGTGTATCCTGCATGTGAGATTGTTATTGGGGATGTGATTTTATATGTTAATTTGTTGCCTCTGAATCTTGACCACTTTGATGTAATTTTGGGAATGAACTGGTTAACAAAATATCATGCCTCCATTGATTGTGTAACAAAACAAGTTGTTTTTTGTCCACCTAGATTGCCTGAATTTACATTTAACGGAGTTGGTGTTGTAACTCTCCCATACTTGATTTCATCTATAAAAGCCTACAAATTGATTAAAAAGGGGTGTAAAGGGTATTTATGTTGTGTATTGACTGTGCCTGCTGATAAAAAAGTTAATGTGGATAGTATTCCTATAGTTAGAGAATTCCCAGCTATTTTTTCAGATGATTTTCCAGGGGATTTGATTGATAAGGAGATTGAGTTCACTATTGAGGTGATACCGGGTACACAGCCAATTTCTAAAGCTCCATATCGTATGGCACCTACTGAATTGAAAGAATTGAAAATCTAGTTGCAAGAGTTGTCGGACAAAAAGTTTATCAGACCTAGTACATCACCCTGGGGCGCTCCAGTCTTATTTGTGAAAAAGAAAGATGGTTCATTGAGGTTTTGCATTGACTACCGTGAACTGAATAGGGTAACAGTGAAGAGCAATTATCCGTTGCCTCGCATTGATGATTTATTCGACCAATTACAAGGTGTTCAAGTATTTTCTAGGATTGATCTTAGATCGGGGTACCACCAATTGAAAGTCAAAGGCGAAGACGTAGAAAAGACTGCCTTCAAACAATGTACGGATATTATAAATTTCTTGTTACGCCTTTCGGAGTTACTAATGCGCCTACTGCATTTATGAATCTCATGAACAGAATTTTCAAGCTATTCCTCAATGACTTTGTGGTTGTTTTTATAGATGACATTTTGATTTATTCCAAAAGCAAAGGAGAACATGAACGTCATTGGAGAATTGTTTTACAAACCCTGAGAGAATAGAAATTATATGCAAAACTGACAAAGTGTGAATTCTGGCTTGATAGTGTTATGTTTTTGGGGCATGTAATCAATAAAGATGGCATTACAGTGGACCCACAAAAGATTGAGGCAGTTGTTAATTGGCCTAGACTTACCAATGTTACTGAAGTTTGAAGTTTCTTGGGTTTGGCCGGATACTACCAAAGATTTGTGAAAGACTTTTCCAAAATTGCTTTGCCTTTGACTCAGTTGACACAGAAAGGAGTACAGTTTGATTGGACCGATCAGAGAGAATCAACCTTTTAAGAATTGAAGACTCGACTTGTGACTGCACCGATTCTCACCTTACCCTTAGGTAAGGATGGATTTACTATTTTTAGTGATACTTCTTATACGGGTTTGGGGTGTGTATTGATGCATAATGGCAAAGTAATAGCATATGCTTCTCGACAACTGAGGCCACATGAAAAGAATTATCTAACTCATGATTTGGAGCTTACCGTAGTAGTATTTCCATTGAAGATTTGGCGCCACTACTTGTATGGGGCAACGTGTGAAGTGTATATGGATCACAAGAGCTTAAAGTATTTCTTTACTCAGAAAGAATTGAATATGAGACAGCGGAGATGCTTGGAATTGATAAAAAACTATGACTTGCAAATTTTGTACCATTTGCGGAAAGCCAACACCGTTGCCGATGAAGTCAATTGGGAACTTAGCTTGTTTACTTACTAGGCAAAGGGAATTGCTACAAGACCTTGAGAAATTTGAAGTTGAAATTGTTTTGCGAGAACAAGGTGGGACATTAGCTGTTATTTCTGCTCAATCGACAATTATTGAGGAAATTAAAGAAAAACAACATGAAGATGAATTTTTGAAGAAGATTATTGATGAACATGATTCCAAGCCGAGGCTGAATTTCCTTTTTGAAAATGATGTATTGAAATTTCAAGGTAAATTATGTATACCAAATGATCCCGAATTGAAAAAGCAACTTTTGCAAGAAGCCCATAATTCAAAACTTTCTATCCATCCGGGGAATACAAAAATATATCAAAACTTGAAGTTGAATTTTTGGTGGCCGGGAATGAAGAAAGAAATTGCTGAGTTTGTGTCAAAATGCTTACATTGCCAACAAGTCAAAGCCGAGCATTAACGACCCGCGGGATTACTCCAACCACTGCCAATACTGAAGTGGAAATGGGAGCACATCATATGGATTTCATTGTTGGACTACCTTGCTCCAATAGAGGTATGGATTCAATTTGGGTTATTGTTGACCGTTTGACTAAATCTGCTCATTTCTTGCCTATCAAGATAATTATAATGCGGATAAGTTGGCGACAATTTACATTAATGAGATTGTTAGATTGCATGGAGTGCCTGTGTCCATTGTTTCTGATAGGGACTCGAAGTTCACATCAAGATTTTGGCAAAGCTTGCAAATGGCATTGGGTACTAAATTGAGATTGAGCAGTGCATACCATCTATAGACTGAGGGCCAGTCAGAAAGAACAATCCAAACTCTAGAGGACATGTTGCGTATGTGTGTGCTTGATTTTCAAGGGAATTGGGAAACTCACTTGCCTTTAGCCAAATTTGCCTACAACAATAGTTTTCATTCAAGCATTGGTATGGCGCCTTTCGAGGCTTTATATGGTAGAAAATGTCAGTCTCCTATTTGTTGCACAGAAGTTGGAGATGGGCCTTTACTTGGGCCTGAGATTGTACATGAAACAACAAAAAATGTGAAATTAATTCAACAAAGATTGAAAATTGCACAAAGCCGACAGAAAAGTTATGCGGATGTCCGAAGGCTAGACAGGGAATATGAAGTGGGTGATCATGGTTTTATTAAGGTGACACCAATGAAATGGCAGACTCGCTTTAGAACCAAGGGCAAGTTAGCACCGAGGTATGTTAGGCCGTATGAAACCATTGAAAAGATTAATCTAGTGGCATATTAGGTAGCACTTCCTCCCGAAATGAAACATATGCATAATGTCTTTCATTTTCAATGTTGCGGAATTATCTTTGGGATCCTTTTCATGTTATTGAGCCTACCCATGTGGTGTTGAATGATGGCTATACTTATGAAGAAATGCCCATTCAGATTGTAAATCGGCGAATCAAGGAGTTGAGAAACAAAGAAATTCCCTTAGTAAAGGTAGATTGGCAAAATCACGGTGGAATTTAAGCAACTTGGAAAAAGGAGGATGATATAAAGAAAAGATAGCCGGACCTATTTCCACTTGATCCTATATTCTTTCCGGAGGAAGATAATTGATTTTGGAGGACCAAACGTCTTAAGGGGGGGAGAATGTGACAACCGCCTCCTTAATTAAATTAATTAATTATAATAATTGTGTGCTTAGTGTTAATTGTGAGATTATGCGCTAATTGTAAAGTATGTGCCATGTGTGATATATGTATATGGTATCGTCATTGTAAATAGATAGCTGGAGTTATGGATTAAACCTGTCTGAATTGCTAATGTTAGCAAGTTAGAATTAACTAATAGGATATGAAATTAAAGCCTAATTCACTTTAGGAAAATTAAAACTAGTTTGCTTTAAGTCATAAATGTTAGAGATTAATTTAATTTAAATGAGTTTGATTTTAATCAATTTATTAGCCAAATTAATTCAAGCCTAATGTATGTATAATTAGCAATATAATAAGCCTAAGTTCCATACAAACAAAAAGAACCTAAGAGAGAGTTGGTGGGCTTGGTGAGCATTACACGTAAAGAGAGGGAGAGATTGTGCTTTTGAGAGTTCAAAGAGTAAAAAGAGAAGAAAGAAAGGATGAGGAGAAGAACTTAGGAAGAAGATAGAGGAGTGTCATGAATTCTCTCAAATCAACAAGTAAGGTAAGCATTTTCTCTTTTACTTTCTTGAAATTGAGACTTGCACATTCATCATCTTCAAATGTTAAAGCTTAAATAGGATGAATTGATGTCTAATTAGGAGGTTTGCTCATGTTGTTAATAGTTTAATACATACATGTCTTCGTATGGAAGAATTGACCAAATAAACATCATATAGTTACATGCATGGCATAATTCATGGACATTTGGTTTCATCTATTTAAGTTCTTGCATGGTTCTCCAATTGACAGGAAATTCCATGGAGGTTTGAGTTTTAGAGCTCATACTTACATGTTTAATACTTTTACATACCAAAGAGAGGGTTTGATTTCTTCTTGGCCATTTGAGGTTGTTTTAAACTCATGACTTTTTGTTTAAGGTTAGAAATTGTGAATTCTTAGTGGTTGTGAAAAGGGCTTAAATTGTGCAAAATGAAGTTAGATTCTGGAAAGTAAAGGACCCAAAAACATAGCAGATTTTCAGCATGGAATCAACCCAAACCGCTCAAGCGGCCAACCTTCGTTAGCCCAATGGTGCACACCACTTGACCACCACTCGCGCGGCCAAGGCCACTGCATGAGTAGCCAGACCACTGCATGTGCGGCCAGGACCATCGCATGTGCAGCCAACAGGG